TGAATGGCAGCAGGCAAAAAGATAATGTGCAGGAAAACTTCCCTTTACAGTAATCATCAGATTTCATGAGACTTACTATCACAAGAACAGCACAGGAAAGACCTGCCCCCATGATTCAATTACCTCCCACCAGGTTCCTCCCACAACACATGGGAATTCGAGATGAAGTTTGGGTGGTGACACAGCCAAACCATATCAATCCGCCCCTGGACCCCCCCAAATCTCATGTCCTCACATTTAAAAACCAATTATTCCTTCACAACAGTCCCCCAAAGTCTTAATTTATTTCAGCATTAACTCAAAAGTCCACAGTCCAAAGTCTCATCTGAGACAAGGCAAGTCCCTTCTGTCTATGAACCTTTAAAAAAGTCAAAAGCAACTTAGTTACTTCCTAGATACAATGCGGAAACAGGTATTGGATAAATACAGCCATTCCAAATGGAAGATATTGTCCAAAACTAAGAGGCTACAGGCCCTGTGCAAGTCCGAAATTCAGTAGGGCAGTCAAATCTTAAAGCTCCAAAATGATCTCCTTTGACTTCATGGCTCGCATCCAGGTCACACAGGTGTAAGATGTGGGTTCCTGTGGTCTTGGGCAGCTCTGTCCCTATGGCTTTGCAGAGTACAGCTCCCTTCTGGCTGCTTTCACAGGCTGGCATTGAGCGTCTGCAGCTTTTCCAGGCACACAGTGCAAGCTGTCAGTGGATCTACCATTCTGTGGCCTGAAAGACAGTGGTCCTCTTCTAACATCTCCACTAGGTGGTGCCCCATTAGGGACACAAGCTCTGGCCCTGTGACTTTGCAGGATACAGCCTCCCTCCTGGTTGCTTTCATAGGCTGTTGATGAGTATCTATTGCTTTCCCAGGTGCAAGTGAAAGCTGTCATTGGGTCTATCATTCTGGAGTCTGAAGGACGGTGGCCTTCTTCTCACAGCTAAACTAGGCAATGGTCTAGTACGGACTCCAACCCCACATCTCCCTTTTGCACTGCCCTACCAGAGGTCCTCCATGAGGGCCCCACCCCTGCAGCAAACTTTTGTCTGGGCATTCAGGTGTTTCCATAAATCTTCTAAAATCTAGGCAGAAGTTCCCAAAACTCAACTCTTCACTTCTGTGCACCAGCAGGCTCACCCATGGAAGCTGCCAAGGCTTGAGGCTTCCACCCTGTGAAGCAACAGCCCAAGCTGCACCTTGGCCCCTTTTAGTCATGACTGGAGTGGCTGGGACGCAGGGCACCAAATTCCTAGACTGCGCACAGGATGGGAACCCTGGGCACTATCCACAAAACCATTTTTCCTCCTAAATCTCTGGGCCTGTGATGGAGAAGTGGCTGCAAAATCTCAGACATGCTCTGGAAATATTTTCCCCATTGTCTTGGTGATTAACATTCAGCTCATCATTAGTTATACAAATTTCTGCAGCCAGCTTGAATTTCTCCTCAGAAAATGGGATTTTCTTTACTATCAGTTTGTTAGGCTGCAAATTTTCCAAACTTTTATTCTCTGTTTCTCTCTTGAAACTGAATGTCTTTAACAGCACCCAAGTTACCTCCTGAGTACTTTGCTCCTTAGAAATTTTTTTCTGTCAGATATCCTAAATTCTCTCTCTCAAGTTCAAAGTTCCACAGATCTCTAGGGTAGTGGTAAAATGCCACCAGTCTCCTTGCCAAAACATAACAAGTCACCTTTGCTCCAGTTCCTAATAAGTTCCATCTGAGACCACCTCAGCCTCGACCTTATTGTTTACTACTATCAGCATTTTTGTTAAAGCCATTCAACAAGTCTCTAGGAAGTTCCAAATATTCCCATAGTTTCCTGTCTTCTTCTGAGCCCTCCAAACTGTCCTAACCTCTGCCCATTACCAAGTTGCAAAGTCGCATCCACATTTTTGGGTATTTTTTCCGCTACAACCCACTCTCCTGGTACCAATTTACTATATTAGTTCATTTTTATGCTACTGATAAAGACATGTCCAAGACTAGGTAATTTATACAGGAAAAAAGGGTTTAATTGGACTTACAGGTCCATGTGGCTGGGGAATCCTCACAATCATGGTGGAAGGCAAGGTGGCATATACCACATCTTACATGGATGACAGCAGGCAAAAAGGGAATATGCAGGAAAATTCCCCCTTATAATAACCATCAGATTTCATGAGACTTACTACCACAAGAACAGCATGGGGAAGACCTGGCCCCATGATTCAATTGTCTCCCACTGTGTCCCTCCCACAATACATGAGAATTCAAGATGAGATTTGGATGGGGACACAGCCAAACTACACCACTGCTGATTATTATAATCCTGATTATACAGCAAAAGATTTAATCATTTTTGTTGTGTCATAACTTAATTTCTAAGTTTATTAGGGAACTTCAATAATTTAATTTCGAAAATAATCTAATAATACAGTTTTTTGTAGGCGTTTTTGTTTCTTATAAGGATCTCTAATAGATTCCTGGTGCCACTGTTTACAGGTAATATGGGCTCAATCCAGATATAGAACCATTGGATCCAAGAATCCCAGTTTAAAAAAAATAAAAATAAAAAAGAACAGCTTTGCCTAATGCACCATAAAATTTTCTCTTCTTTGCCCTTGCTTGCTTCACTGCTGACTAAAAAACCAGAGAATTCTTCTCCCTAGAAAATGAGTGAATAATCTTTCTCCAATCCCACACAACCAGCTACAGGACATGACTTGTCTATGAAACTTTTCAGATCTTGACAAACATTAGTAACTCCTTGCTCTAATATTCTTACAATCCCTGCTGTATCTTTAATAATTTATTAACTCTTCAAAACCCTTTCACACACTTTTATCTTGTGGTGCTCCCAAAGAATCTGTGAAATAGATAGGGCATCTGTCATTTACAGATGAGGCCTGAAAAGTCTAAACAACTGACTGGGTCACTAACAAGGAGCAGAGCTGGGATGCATATTTAGTGTGCCTGTATCCAGTCAGAATAGTATTATTATGATGGAAGGATATCTTGCTTCAGCTTCAGATAGCACAAGTGTCAAATCCTAATTCAACGACTTAGCTGGTTACATACATTCATCAACTAGTTAACCCCCCACGAGCCTCAGCTAACTCATTTCTAAAACTGGGATAATAACAAATACCTCACAGGGTTCTTAGGAAGATTCAATTCATGCACTAATGGAGTACATGCCACATAGTAGACATTTCAGGAATATTTCTTCCCTAACTACTATTTTTCCTTTATCCACTCTCTTATGTTCATAAATCGGCTGTGTGACTGATTCTAGCAGACACTGTGGAATAATTTTTTAAAACCCAGAATACAGACTGGGGAATCTGATAGAACTAGGTTTGAATTCTCTCCAGCACTTATTAACTCTGGCCCTTAGGAACTCAGTTCCTTAACTTCCTCAACAGTAAATGAGGGCAATGGCTCCAACCTCACAAGGGTGATATAAGGATCAAATGAGAGAATGTATGCAAAATACCTACCACAAGTGTTCGGTAGTGTTTCAAGTTCAACCACAAGTTGAACGAGCAACCAAAAGTGTTTGGTCTTGGCAATTTCCTACCCTTCCTTCATTCCTTAGAAATTCTTGAAGTCAACATGCAAGTGCTACCTATTCACTACACTAGCTGCCTGCAGTGTGGAAATACTCCAGGGACTTGGTCAGTTTTGAGCTGTGTCTGCCAGTGTTACTAGTTAAACTTACAAAGTTTATGGCTAATTTCAGTATTCCCGTAAAATACAAAAGACCCAAAAGTATGATGCCCCTCAGGTGTGGACATGCCATAGATGTCTAAGGAGAGTGTCCCACCTATGAATGTCGTGTCTTGTGCATTCCCAAAGCCGAGATTTTGCCAGGGCTCCAACATGACACACAGCTTCACTCCTGCACTACAATGAGAAGAGTCTTTAACGTAAATTTCAGGGCCCTTCCATATGGCAGGTTTTTGTATTAGAGCAAAAGATGACAAGCCAAAGAGCCCCTCAACTCACAGCTGATGATGTAGCATAAGAAGGCACAAGAGGGATGCATAAAAAACCCAGCATGTACTCAACAGTTCTCGTTTTCCACAAGCCTCATGCGTCTCTTTCATGCTTGTGCTTTATACTTCAGCCCCATCATCTCCATGGGTCTTGTCCATATCACTCGCTATCTCTGTCATGTTTGAAAGAAATTCAGGGGAAAAAAATCTAAAGAAAACTACCTACCATGAAACGTAGGAAACAAAAACAGTTTAAAGTTAAGATGCCCACAAAGGAAGAGAAGCTGCAATAACAACAATGTAAAACAGCCCCAGAACCTGAAAGCCACACTGATCGGCATCAGCAGAGCCCCAGCAGCTTTGTGCAGAATTTGATTAATCGCATTTATTTGGTTTGGGTTTTGCAAAGCTTGAACCCTGTGGTTTCCTCAATCTTCTTAAGTCCCACTCCAAATATGTGTGTTTTGGTTTTTGTTTTTTAAATGATTAGGTATTTCAGCCTCCTTTTTTTCCTAGCATCTTTTGCAACACAATAAGGTTCTGAGTCCAAATGTCCAGCCACCGTCCCTTGCACTGGTGAGCACCTGAGCTTGCACCACAGATACAGAAGGTTCTAAAAGGGTACCATACCTCTGTGAGGAGACCACATGACAAGTGAAATCTTTCTGAATCTAGAGTAGATCTCTAAATTTAAAAGAAGAACATTACAGGACTTCAGTGTAGCCTGGGTATTTCACAAGCCTGGTATTTGGACTTTTGTTGGTTCCACACACAGCTCTTAGGGAAGACAGTTCTGGCAGTTAGGGCTGCCTAGCAAGTCTAGGAAGAACATGAGTGAACTACGTAGGTGAGGACCAAAGGAGGCAAGACACCATTGTTTACACAAGGACATCCTCTGCTTTCAGAATGGTTGGTGCCCACAAAGTACTCGGGCTATGTCTGAGACAATGGGATGCTGCTGTCTTTATCTGTTCCTGTCTTCCCTAGCTCTTTCCCCATTCCATCCCCCTTCCCAACTCCGGTTTTGCTTTTTGTTTTTTTTAATGTGTGTGTTTGGTTGGGGGCGGGAGGTGCAGTTCTAGAGGAATGTATCTTCCATAACAAATGTCAGCTCCAGTGCAAAGGCCAGAGTAGTTTCCAGTTTGATTTTATTCTATTCCTAAATTAATATTTTAGGCATACTCTCAGCAGCCCAGGAAATTACTCTCTCCCTACAGACTGTTAGGATCTCTTTCTTCAAGGCATCTCTGAACATTTAAAGACAAACAGTTTTAAAAAATCAGAGAACAGTGGATTGGCATGCAGTGAGCATTTCCGAGGTATGAGTAAAATTTAAAACCTACTGTTCAAATAAATAACTGGTCTGTGGCCACAAAACAAAAACAAGTTAACTCATTAAAATTGACCTCAGGATCTAAGAAAATGTACTCTATCCTTCCCTCATTCAGACAGTCTTGTTCTCTTCTATTTTCATGATGAATTTTCCCTAGAGCACTGTCTCTCTTCCCCATCTTTGCATTTCTTCTCTACCCCATTTCTTCCTCTGTTCTTTATTTCTTCTTACTTCTACAGCTCTGCCTTCTTTTTCATTCTGAGTGTCTTTCCGCTCTTCCTCACTAACTTCTTTTCCTTTGACAAACCTTAATATGAATTAGACTATATCTTAAGAATATATGAATAAGTTTTTATATACCCTATACTGAATGTTTAAACCAAATGAGCTGAAAGGTTTTTCATTTTCTCTGTGCTAATTACACATTAATTAGTTTAAGCATTAGATTGTTGAAAAGACTACAGGACTCAGACAGATTATACTGATGAAACAGCTTTAATATAAGCAAGACAGCACATCACAGCAAAAACAGGAGAAAGATATGCATTGGAAGGGTCCAAAGATCTCAGGCTCACACTTCTTTGTCCTTCTACGTGCTGGGTCACACAGAACAAGTTTTATATTCATACTGGTGGTCTGGAAGCACCACCAGTATATGTGCTATGACCTCAGTCCAAGGAAGATTAAGCTCTGCTTCTGGCAGGATATCTGCAACTGAGCTGGTCACATAGGCATATTCCAGCTACCTAACCACCCTCAGCCCATCAAAATCTTCAGCTCCACCAAAACTGAGTGCTAGGCAAAAATCTGATTATTTTGTTAAACAATGCTGACTGCCTGGTATATTCTGCCCTGAAACGACTCAGAGTTTTACTTCGGTAAAAGCCTTTATCTTCAGTACATTTTAGAGTTTCGGCCAAGGGTTAGCACAGCTCTAGGAACCATGTAGATAAGCATTTGGTCAATTCAGACCTGCTCAGATTAATTCATACTGTGCACTATTTCACATAAAAGCAAAATGTCACTAACCTACTTTGCTTTACATTTGAGTTGAAACTAAAATGGCTCTTTTCTACAACTCTACAGTCAATGTTTGCAGAATTGATGCTCCAAGCCCAATTTAAACAAAATGGAAGGGATGTACTGCTGCAGGCAGCTCTTTATCCTGCTGGCATGCCTCCTTCTCAGCCCTCACCTTCCACTTCATCTCCAGGATGGCCCTTTCCACCTCCTCCAGAGCTCGCTCCCTTCTTTCCACAGCCCTCTCCCGCCACTCTACTGCCCTTTCCCTCCTAAGCACCTCCTTTTCCCTTTGGCTGGCCCACAAAGCCATGGCACCCACCTGCTCCAGGAGCCTGCCCCAGTCACCTTCAACACCTGTGGGGAGCTGGGGCCTGTGGGGCCTTGGATCTGGGCGCTGACCAGCCTGACCATGGCCGCTCTTCTCCAGCTCCTCCTTGTGCATGCTTTTCAGATGCTTCCACAGGGCTGTGGTGCCCACATTAACCCCAGGGCCACGGCTTACCTGCCTGCCACACAGGCGGCAGGTGGCATATTGGTTGGGATGGTGCCCAGCACGAGCAGGAGCCAGGTGGAAATACTCCCATGCCTCAGAGAACCGGGTCCCCTTGTTGTGGGGCATTGGAGTGGGCATCGCACTCACAAAAGGGCCAACCACTTCTCCTGTCTCACTAATCTCTTCCTCCTCCTTCATCTCTAAGTCTCCTTTTGCCTTCATCATGGTTCCCTCCTCTTCCTCCTCTTCCCGCCTCATCATGTCTTTTCTTCTACAGTGTTCTTTATGATAGGCCTAGATGTGAGCCAAAAGTTTATCTGAACCACAAGATTAAATGTATATTTGAGAAGGAACTATGGTAATGCTTGGGGATTCACAATAACGGCCAAAGTCTGGCCACACCTGGGTGGTGTGATGTTTCTTTCTTTCTGCTTCACTGGAGAGTCAGGAGTGAGTCAGATACAAGCAAAACGGCCTAAGAGTGCATTCCTTCCATGCTCCAGATACTTACTTATCTTCCCTTGACTAGGCCAGAAAGACAAAACATATCAGTTCCTGTAGCAAAGGTATTTTCTGGTCAAAACTTACAAAGCTCTCTGATGAACTCAGTGTTCTCTGCATCAACCACAACAGGTATTTTTGAATATTGAAACTTTTAGGTTTTCTTGTTTCTCCTTTTGGTTGTTTTCACTGTTTCTGTGCCTCTTATTTTCTATAAACGCATTTTGGAGACAGGAGAAACAGCCTCAGAGTTCAGGGTTTTCAGGACCAACAGGGCTGGGGCCTCACTGGGTCTTATTCAGAGTAGGTAAAAGCAAACACAGGCAGATGCTGATACAGAAGACAATCTTGCTTCCTAAGAATTGTTGCAACAAGCAATCCAGAGTAGACAAAGCCTATGAGGATCTGGATAAGAAAGTTCCCAATTCAAGGTCAGCTTCTCCTTAGAGGCGTCTCTCGGGGGCCAGGAGTCTAAGATATCCAAACAGCAAGCTCAGCTCTTTCAGCAGAAGGAGCTAGAATGCTCAGAGGAGAAGGTGGAGCACATCTTCACAGACATGGTGTTGCCTGGCTGTCCTTAGCAAGCAGCTCACCATACTCCACCTTCTCCAGCAGGATCACCTGCAAAGCCAACAGCCAATAAGACCTTCCTGACGCACGTTACTCCAGAGGTTTTGCTCTTTATCTCATTTTAAAGATAAATACGTAAATGGAAAATCATATTGCATTTTTTAAAAGGCTGACCTCTCTCCTTTCTTGAGTCATTTCTTAAATGAATGAGAGCATTATATAATCAAACTTTGCAATCCTAAACAGTTAGGAAACTTCCCCCTAGCCATAAGTGGGTACTTACAAGCAGGCAAGGCTCTGGACTTCTCTGATCTTTCCTGTGCAGAGTGAATGCACTCCTGCACACCTTGGATGGCTATTAGCTGACTCCTACCCAGAAAAGGAGGGCACCTCCAGTTCTGGTTTCCTCCCACTGCTAGGGAAGCATAGTTTCCAAGTAGGTGTGTCTGTGCCTGTCAGGTTTTTCTGCAACACTTAGACACGGACGCAAATCTTTTCTCCACCCCTTCCACCACCAAGAAAAGGATATTCCTGGCATATGTCATGCAGCAAAACAATAAGTCAAGCACCTACAAGTCTTAGTTCTCTTTTCTGATGACTAGATTATCTAGCCTCCCAAATAAAGAAAGAGATTTAAAGGGGGAAGAATGGGAAATAAACGGAAAATAAATAACTGGTCTGTGGCCACAAAACAAAAACAAGTTAACTCATTAAAATTGACCCCTGGACCTAAGAAAATGTACTCTATCCTTCCCTCATTCAGACAGTCTTGTTCTCTTCTATTTTCATGATGAATTTTCCCTAGAGCACTGTCTCTCTTCCTCATCTTTGCATTTCTTCTCTACCCCATTTCTTTCTAAATTTCCTTCCTCTGTTCTTTATTTCTTCTTACTTCTTCTATAGCTCTGTCTTCTTTATCATTCTGAGTTTCTTTCAGCTCTTCCTCACTAACTTCTTTTCCTTTGACAAACCTTAATATGAATTAGATTATATTTTAAGAATTTATGAATGTTATTATATACCCTATGCTGAATGTTTAGGAAAATGTATACATACAGTATAATATACATATATTACATATATATACTGCATGTGTATGTATGTGTATGTGTATATACACATACATATATATATTATATATATACTGTATGTTATATGTAATATACATAATATATGTGTATGTGTATACATATTTAGGTTGAGAAGGAAAACCTACCAAGAGGAGATAGGAAGACTCTAAAGAAGGTGTCAGTAGAAGAAAAAAAACTTACTGTTTTAAAAAAAAAAAAAAAAAAAAAAAAGATAGAAATGGCATAGCAGACCAGCCACAGTGGCTCATGCCTATAATCCCAACAATGTGGGAGGCTGAGGCAGATAGATTGTTTGAGGTTAAGAGTTTGTGGCCAGCTGGCCAACATGGCGAGACCCTGTCTCTTCTAAAACTACAAAAATTATCCAGGTGTGCTGATGCACACTTGTAATCCCAGCTACTCAAGACGCTAAGACAAAAGAATCGTTTGAACACGAGAGGTAGAAGTTGCAGTGAGCTGAGATCATGCCACTGCACTCCAGCCTGAGCAACAGAGAGAGACTCAGTCAAAAAAAAAAGAAAGAAAGAAAGAAAAAAGAAAAAGAAATGCATAGCAGAAAACATGTAGAGGTTGACAGTTAAATTAAAATGAAAGAAAAAAATATAGGGGAAAGATTCAAAATAGGAGTGAGACTAGGAGGAGTTTAGAACATGAATCACATTTCTAAACCAAATTTTGGAACACAAAGTATAGAGATAGTATAGAATATTTGAATCATTTCAGAAAATCTTAACTTAGAGAATTCATGAAAGTCAAATCTTTTCAACATTTTTAGAAGTTAACATGAGTGTTCTTCTCTGAGCCAGCTACCTTTGTAAAATAATAACACTCTCACTTACTCCTAATATTACCATATTGTCAGCTTTTGGTCAGTTAACTAAAGATAAAAGAAATGAATCATGAGAATGGTTAATGTCACTGGATTAATGCAAACCTTGGTATCTTTTTCTTTCTTTCCTTTTTTTTTTTTTTTTCTTTTTTTTTGTTTGTTTTGTTTTAACATTTTACCTCCTATACCTTTTAATCTTTTCTTGGCCAACTGGAGACAAAAATTATTCTTTGGCATCTACTGAATTAAATAAACTGAACGCTCACCTTTACTTAATAAGAACACATTTTAGAGGATCTGATTTTACTTTTAATTTTTTAGTGGAGAGAATAGCATCCCTTGCCTGTATATGTATTCCCATTACCTGGAAAAGCAAGGGTTGAACAAATGGGAATACTGGAGCTATGGTGTTTGTCACCCAGCATCTTGGATATGCTGGACAACACTCTCTGAAATTCTCTTGTTTCTTTGGGATTTCTGCAGCAATGTACTGAGAAATGGTAAACCTCAGGAGCATTTGACCAGGAAAATGTTATTTAGCATTCTTGAGTTTGGTTTCTCAGCTCTATAGGTCCAGACTTCTTGGGAGCAACTAGTCTGTGGATAGGCACACAGATCATCACATACATGTAATTGTTCTTTACATGTTAACTAGTATATTCATTAATTGTGGAAAATATCTGGGAACTAAGAACTATGGCTGGTCATATGTAAAATATACACAACTCTTGATGAGAAAACAAGTATTTATAAATGGAATTACAATTGTGAAGAGTCTCAGATAAAACAGTGGGAAACCAATAATTCTCACTAGATATTTTCACCAGGCTGTTAAAGAAAGTATCATCCCCCAAAGAACAAACATAGTATTGAAAGTAAAATATAACTAGCCCTGTATCTAAGTTCTTTGCTTTCATAATACAGCTACTTGTTTCATTTCTTATTTCAATACAATTTTAATTTAAAAATGTGTTGGACTGAGACTAAGGAGACATCATTTCTAATTGTGCCATTAACTATTTTCCACTTCCTTGAACCACTGAGTGCTTGATTTTTCCCTCTGTCAAATGGCAAAAATAAGGCATGCCCTACCTATCCTTAAGATTAAGTCAATAAATCAAAAAAAAAAATTAAGAAAACTCTTTACAAGTAAAAAGCTGGATATTTATATTAAATGGTTTCTGTGGCTGTTACAAATAGTGTCTTACGTTATTTGGGGAACAGAAACACCATGCAGACCCCCTTGAGCTTTTCGCGAACAGACTATTCTTCTCTGGCCTCTGTTTGTTATAGCTTCTTCCTTCTATTCTTTGCTTTCCATTTAGCATTATTTTATTCTGCCTACACAGAGTTAAGATTTCTCTTTTATAGAACCCAGAATCCAGACTTGGAACATTAGCATAGTCCTAGATCCTTAAGTTGACCTAGGAGTATAGCCAGAAGTTTATAACATCTCTATAGGAGATAGCCCATTTATAGTGCACATTCTAACACAACCTGTATTAAAAGTAGACACTGCCTTCTATTTATTCGGTTAAAAGTGGAGAAACTCTTTTTTGCCAACTTATGTTATATGAACGTTAGTAAGATGTAAGGAGTACCAGTTTCTTCAGAATTTGCAAATAACCCTTTTTCTGTCTTTACCCTAGAGAACATTTACCTGCTCACTAAACAATGTATTTCCCAAAGCAAATATCACATGGTTTATAGATGGAAGTTTCCTTCATAATGAAAAAGAAGGTAAGGAAATTAATCAGTTGAAATAAGTTAAGCACAAAATGAAAGAAAACAAAGAACATTAGACATTGTAACTGCCCAAGTGGATCTTGGCATTTAAGAATAATTCTCATTCCAAGAAAAACATTATTCTGCCTACCAAATGTCATTTTCTGATGCTTCATCTGGCTCCTCCAAGGGGGTGGAGTATAACATCTTCCAGAATGAAAGAAATACAATTGATTTAGACAAAAAACATCCCAAAATTTATTTAACTATTAGTAAAAGAAATATATGAGGACAAAAAGTTTAAATCTACATACATTTATTAAAACATTTTCTGTCTTTATAACATAGCTACCTGTTTTTCCATGTCTTTCTTATTTCAATACAATGTGTTCAGTTAACTTAGCACCACTGCTTTAAATCAGTCAATAAACAATTTCTACCTTTCCATGGAGGATCTAGGGCAGGTGTTAGTGGAGCACTAGAGGAGGCGTATGTAAAAGAGTTGGCTCCTTGACAAGGTACATGCTCCCCAGGAGGCTTACAAGTTCCTGGAGGAGGAACACACATCAAGACAAGCTCAGGTTATAATTCACAAAGCCTTTTTTTAGATGGAGTCTCGCTCTGTCACCCAGGGTGGAGTACAGTGGCGTGATCTCAGCTCACTACAACCTCCATTTTCCCATTTCAAGCAATTCCTCTGCCTCAGCCCCCTGAGTAGCTGGGACCACAGGTACATGCCATCACACCCAGCTAATTTTTTGTACATTTAGTACAGACAGCTTGGTCTCAATCTCCCGATCTCATGATCCACTTTGGCTTCCCAATGTACGGGGATTGCAGGCATGAGCCACGGCGCCCAGCCCCAAAGCCATATTTCTATAGGTAGTAACCATGACAGCTTCTACCAGAATTACCTCAGCTGCCCCTGCTTGAACAACAGCCATTCATTCTCCTTTCTTCTGAGTCATTATTCCTCAAAGTTCAATCTGTCTTCAATAAACTGAGTCACACAACTCTCTGAATTATTTTTAAGTGATAAAATTGAAAGCTTATATTGGTGAATGTATTGATCACTTGATGTATTTTAGACTATTACTGGTTGTATTAGTTTAAAACAACAGTTCACCCATAACAATGACAGAATGCAATTCTAAAAATACATTTAAAAGTTATTATAGGCCAGGAGCGGTGGTGCACGCCTGTAATTCCAGCACTTTGACATGCCGAGGCAGGCGGATCACCTGAGGTCAGGAGTTTGAGACCAGCCTAATATGGTGAAACTCCATCTCTACTAAATACAAAAAATTAGCTGAGTATGGTGGTGGGCACTTGTAAGCCCAGCTACTTGGGAGGCTGAGGCAGGAGAATTGCTTGAACCCAGGAGGCAGAGGTTGCAGTGAGCCAAGATTGTGCCATTGCACTCCAGCCTGGGCAACAAGAGCAAAACCCCGTCCCCCAAAAAAAGTTATTATAAATATACTATCCTGTTAAATAAGCCCTGCATAGGAAAGCACCCAGATTTGTTGTGCCCATTATTCCCAAACAAGAGGTTAGATGGTGTGGTCAGAACTGCACCAGCACACAACTGCATTTAGCTATTACTTTGGTAAGTAATTACATCAGAATTGGTGTTAAGAATCTTTAATGTGAAAAAGCTGTGAGTATCCAGAAAATTCTGACATAGACTGATAGTTGGTTTTACATTAATTTTCTGCTGCCTGGTATGCAATTTGGAGGTTGTACTGTCATAACAGTTTAAAACAGAGCTTGATTCCTAAATAAGACTCACAGGACCCAAAATGGCAATTCTTACAAAGCTACAAAAGATTACAATATGCATCGTATTCTATCCTACACTTACAGTGAGGAGTCCAGAGAAGTCAGATATGAGCTCCTTCGTCCTCCCTCTCTAAGGGCCACAGCGAGACACACATCCTCTCTCAGATCAGGGACTGATACAGACACAGAACAGCTCAGAAGTGGGAAGTCCAAAACAGAGTCCCAACTGAGATTGCTTTCTATTTTACCGGTCACTTAGGTATATTCCAGCAACATAACCAGACCCCACAGCAGAGCTCTCCCAAGGTCTAACTTAGACTAGGTGTGAATTATCAGTCTCACAGTTGTCAACAAACAATGCTGATGAGCTGGGATAATCTGCCCCAAAACATTTTGGAAACATGGTCACAAATAAACCAACACTATTAATTAATATGTTTATACCCTGACCGTGGATCAATGACATGCAGGAACTTGAGCAAACAGCTCAAGTTAATTCCAGATCTGCTGAAACTCACCCTCACATCAGAGAAGCTGTCATTTGACCACTTTAGACTCTATATTACCATAAATTGATCATGCCATGCCTTGGCATTATGGTATGGCTCATACATAAAATGTTAGTGACTAACCACGTTCTTATCTGTCTCGTAGGAATATATATTACTAATGAA